ATCATCGATGAAAACAAACATTAAAATTCATGCTCTACCGATGAATTACTTGATATTAGTGAGGCACAGAATACACCACGCCAGTGGTCATACAAAGTGTCTAAGGTCCAGTATGTGGAGAAAAATTCTTCTGTCCTATAACTCGGAATTTCGTCGTCTCAGAATAAAGAATACTTGGCGTGGTGCTGTACCAATAAGTAAAATAGCAAATAAAATAGCAATAAGTGACGCGTTTCACAGACTCCAATCTGCTTCTTTGAATATTCATTGAATATTTATTTAATATCAAAATGCACTGCACTGAAAACAAAAAAAAAAAATCTACCACTTAATCCCCTTCATAAAATATGGTAAAAGATTCTTACACCCCTTCAAACCACTTAGATAAATTAATATAATACCAAAATGAATATAGCCCCCCCCCCACCCCCCAACAAAAAAAAATCGACTACATAAATATCTGATTGCATTTATCTTACTGTGGATTGATCTGTTTGTCCAAAAAACTTTCAATCAAGATTACATGCGAAAATAAAATAAAATATATAAAGTCCCTCAATGTGCTCCAAAGATTAATTATAAATACAATCAAATGTATGAAAACAAGTCCAATACTGAGCACCAGGCATCCATCCTAATCTATGCTGCGAACATCCATTAAGTGCTTCAAGTGAAATCCACTCCACTCCCCTCTGCATGTATCACTCTATTCACACTGCACTCACCGGAACAGATGGACCATAAACAATAAATGGTCAAAATCACTTTACAACAGTAATGCTCCCGCGTATCACTCACCGGTGCTCAGTAATCTCGTTTGTATAAAGGATTTCAGAGTTTCTTCCCTTGATGTGTAAACTAATGGATATAGATCGCTCGCTTATTTCTCATAAGTAGTCACAGATAGCCATATAACTCAAAAGGGACACCAGAAAGCTCCATAGTGTAAAACTTTATAAAAAACACTTACATACAAGGTGCGCGATTGCACCAAATGAAATGCTCACAATACGCACTAACAGACTATCTCACAGTCCACAGATGCGTAGCGATGTCAGGGTGTACATGCCTACCGGATACGTTTTGTCAGACTTTTTCAAGGGAGGGCATACAGGTGTGTATGACGAATTGCGTCAGTAGGCATGTACAAAAGAAAAAAAGGTCACAAGCACTCCAGCATGTAGAAAAGTCAATGTTTATTGATTTTACAGGGGTCACATCATCAGAGCAACGTTTCGGAACAGCAAAGTCCCTTCCTCAGGAAAAACAGATAATGAATGTTGTATGTTTTTTGAAGTAGGCATGTACACCCTGACATCAATACACATCAGTGGAATGTGGGATAGTCTGTTATTGTTGGGGTTGGAGCTCAAAGTGCTAGAAAAAAAAAAAAAGGACAAATAGGCTCCACCAGTGTCTGAATCCGGCAAATGAGAGAATAATTAAAGGGATAGGTATGGATGAAACTACAGATGGACAGGCGTCTAGAACTTGACCAAACATAAGACAGTCAATAAGTATCGACCTGGTCATACAGTATAGGGATATTCACATTAAGTTAAGAAAACAAAGGGTACTGTTCTGCACATGACAATAAATATCGGTTAAAAAGCCAATATCACAGTGCGATAGTTCTGATAAGGCAAAGTAACCAAGAAGTCTCACGTAGGTAAGGGCCAAGCAGCTGTGTGAGCACAGGGGAGCAAAACATAGGCTAGGTCACATTCAATCTTCAAGGAAGATGTAACAGTAAACGTTCAATGTTGGTTGTGAGGCCACAAATTAGTACCCTGGGAGCATCACGGATACTAAACAGGATAATGGCTAAACTGAACAACTAAGCGGGGTAAAGCACAGGGCTAGAACCTTGGCAAATATACAAGGTCCAGTACAAAGACCGAAGGGAAGGGCAACAAACTGGTAGTGTTGTATACCCACAGGAAAGCACAAGTAGCGTTGATGTGCAGGAAAAGTGGGAACAAACAGGTAGGCATCCTGGATGTCCACAAAGGCCGGAAAACCTCCTAGACAAAAGGTAGGCAATAACTAACTCAGAGGATTTCCTGCAGCATTAGTGCACTCAAATTAAGAAATTGAGTGCTTCTAGGTATCAAATGTGACTTCTATCTGTCAATAGGGTTACAACATGAAGCAGGGCCGGGGGCAGGGATTCAAATGCCAGCATGTACCACATCCTGTGCCCATGCATCTGTCCATGTGGTTGTGAAGGCCAGCAGATGTCTCTCCTGCTTTGAGAAGTGGGGGCAACCTTACATTACGAGTAGGACTTGCCGATGGTGTTGAAAGAAATACTTCTTAGTCGAAAAAGGCTTTCCAGGCTGTGGTTTTAGCCTCATTTTCTGGGGCAGGAGGCTAACTCTGTTGATCTCCATGATATAGATGTCCAGATAGGCCCCAAAGAGGCATTGCCCTCAAGGGGCATGGGCACCAAACATTGTTTGCACTCTTGTATGCTGGACCAGCAATTAAGTCAAAGGGTCCTCCTTATATGAGTGGTAGATGACCCATTCTAGAGAAGAGGTGTGTGATATCCACCAGCTGTCTGGTAAGCAATAGAAAAACTTTTCCAGTTGTATTAAGAATTTTCAAGGATCAGAGCACTAGATCTGGATGGTAACTCCTGTGGGAAATAAGCCAGGGACAGTAAAAGCACCCACCAAGGCTCAAGCAAGAGAGCAAAACCCTTATGACTTACCACAATAGTTGTCCACAAAGTGCCCTGCGGCAATAAAAAAACGAAAACAAAACAGTATAGGAAACTGGAGAGTGCCAAGGCAGGACACGGCAAACAAAATGTCTTTACCCTTCTGGCAGGCATACCTAGTTAGAAGTCTTCATGGACAGGGTTACACCAACATGGCTCTGGACCTGTATAGCGCTCTGCAAAAGGGAAAAAGACGTCCATTCCACTGGGACACTAGAAAAACTGAAGTATCATGGGAGTGGGATGGGTTATCCTACATGACAGACACTTTTTTTGTTGCCAGTGCCCAACTCTCCTGATGGTGGCAGTGTAAACCAGTTGTCTCAGAATCCTTCTGACCCTTAGCCCACATTCGCACAAGAACGATCTGGCCGGCCCGTACAGATACGTGCTGCATGCACGGCCTTATCGGGCCACTCCCGGGAAGGACAGGTGCTGTGTGTGGTAACACGCAGCAACCTGTCTTTCTCTATGGGAGTACGCGGCCGTACGCCGCCCTACGCTCACCCGACCTGCACGTCCCCCCCCTTCACGGCCAATGCAAGTCAATGGATATCCTTGATAATCGTGTCATATTAACCATCCTAAGGATAGCGTTGCTGTGATTACGCTATGCTTAAATGCAAGGAGTGACACTGCGTGCTGATATATTCACTTCAAAGTTTTTCTATCTGGAGACACATTGTTGGATATCTTTAGAAAAAAATGGTATCATTCTAATCATCCTCTATATACGCATGTCAGTGTAACGTGCATCACGCTTCAACACATGGAGTGATATTACAGGTGAAACTCGAATAATTAGAATATCGTGCAAAAGTAATTGCAGTAAGTGCTGCAAAAGGGGCCCAAACCAAGTACTGAGTACATATGCATGCTTGTACTTTTCAGAGGTCCGATATTGTTCTATGTACAATCCTTGTTTTATTGATTGCATGTAATAATCTACTTTTTTGAGGTTGTGGATTTGGGGTTCTTGGGGTTTTCATGAGCTGTAAGTCATAATCATCACAATTATGACAAATCATGGCTTGAATTATCTTGCTTTGCATGTAATGAGTCTATCTCATATATTAGTTTCACCTTTTAAGTTGCATTCGTGAAATAAATGAACTTTGCACGATATTCTAATTATTCGAGTTTCACCTGTATATGCCGATACATTTACTTTGGAATTCTTTCCTTTTGGAGACACATTGCTGGATATCCTTGATAATCGCGTCATATTAACCATCCTAAGGATAGCGTTGCTGTGATCACGCTATGCTTACATGCAAGGAGTGACATTGCATACTGATTCATTACTTCAAAGTTTTTCTATATGGAGACACATTATTGGATAGCTTTAAGAATTGTATCATACTAATCATCCTCTATATATGCATGTCAGTGTAACGTGCATCATGCTTCAACGCAACGGAGTGATATTATATGATACTTTGACATTTTTACTTTTGGAGACACATTTCTGGATATCCTTGAAAATTGTGTTGTAAGAACCATCCTAAGGATAGCGTTGCTGTGTGTGATTACGCTATGCTTACATGCAAGGAGTGACACTGCATGCCGATTCATTCACTCCAATTTTGTTCTGTGTGGCGTTTTGTTTTTTTCCTGGAGACACATTGTTGGACACCTTTAAAAATGTATGATATTAACCATCCCGGGGATACTGTTGCTGGTGGCCACGATTGGGATCAATATTATAGTGTGTGTGTGTGTGTGTGTGTAAAAATACAATTCAATGTGTAGCTAAATCACATTTGTTCCCCACTTCGATAGAGTAAAGAATGGTTAAAACCCTTCCCAGTTTTTTTTTCTTTTCTTCTTACCACCATCAGTGTCAGGTTTAATAGATTTAAGAGGACAGGAAGAAGTTATAACACAACCGGAAGGGAGAGAAAATCTCTCCAAAAGTAGAATAAGTCCCCTCTTAGCTGTCAATGGAACAAGTATCCCCACTTCAAAATTTCCCCTCGAATCCTGTTCTGTTGGCAACATAAAACTTTAGATTTTCTCACTTTCAATCCAAGTGACCATGATCACCAGGGCAATAGAAATAAAAACCTTGCATGACTTCTAACCCTCTCTACTCAAAGCTAAAAAAAAAGGAGTTTTGCCTTTAGTAATCGGCTAATCGATTTTGAAAATAATCGTTAGCTGCAGCTCTAAGACATACTATAACTTGATGTTGGTAACGTCACCGCTCATTTTATAGAAAAAATAAAGAAAGGTATGAAAATATTTGTTATTTATACAGAAAATATACTTCAGCACATCAATAACAGGTTTGCTTTACTTTACAGCTAAAAGATTTGCAGGTGGAGGGCGCAGGGGAATGTTCCCTATTGTAAACTTGATGGCTTCAAACTGTGAGAGTTCTTTGTCAGTGAGCTCAGCCCGAGCTGTGAAAATGGGATTTTCACTGCTGGCTTCTGCGGTCACACTTGGCATACGGCTTACGGACACAGCTGGTAATTGTCCAAATGGCGCAGTAGTGGCGGAGCTTGCAGCACCAGTTCTGAATAATTCGGATACAGCACTCGTCTTTCCCCCAAAACCTGATGTCACTGTATTACCAGCAGGAACGCCAAAGCCAGAATTACTTGGGACACTTCCAAAGACTGATGGTGCACTTTGCCCGAAATCAGACACCCCTGTTGTCCCTCCAAAGACAGATGTGATGGCAGAAGATGTACTTGCAGGCAGAGCAGTTGTGGCTGTGGTAAACCCAGAAAAAGCAGATGCTCCAACACCTGAAGATGTGGTTGGGGCAAAGGAAAATGTAGCAGCCGTCACTGCATTTGGATTCCCAAAGAGAGATGACGCTCCATCTGAAGCCGTGGTTACTGCAAAAGTAAATGAAGCCGCTGATCCTGTCACTGCATTGCTGAAACCAGTTGCTGGTTTGCTGCCAAATACTGAAGTACTGGAAACAGGCCCTGCACTAGGTGCGGTGTACTGAGAATCCGGCTTGAAGCTGAAATTATTGGCAGACGGAGCTGCATTGCTGGTGGAAGAGACTGCAAGAAAAAAAAAAAAGATACGAGATGGATTTGTATACAAGGGTATAAAGGTTTGTCACAAAAGATAACAACTTACCTTTAGTGACCAATCAGATTACTTGTTTTTTATGTTCCGAGAAAATAAAGAACCTGATTGGTTACTGTGGCAGCTGATAACATTTATACAGGAGAGCCGACCTGTTCTAGGCCATGTTATTTTTCAGGTTTATAAGAAGTAGTGTATAGTAAATATTATATATAAAATATACAAAGAGAAGGAGATAAAAGCCGTGTTAAGCGGGGTCAGTGATGTACAGCTCAGAAGCTCAAGGAGAGAACAGACAAGTAGGACAACTTGTTGCATTAGCTGGTGCAGCAACAGAATATTGTAAATGTTTATTATCTATATTATTATTAAAGGAGAACTATGGGGTCAGTGTTTCTCCCCATAGTTCTCCTTTAATAATAATATAGATAATAAACATTTACAATATTCTGTTGCTGCACCAGCTAATGCAACAAGTTGTCCTACTTGGAGGTGAGTGGAAATCACTCATCTCATAGTTCTCCTTTAATAATAATATAGATAATAAACATTTACAATATTCTGTTGCTGCACCAGCTAATGCAACAAGTTGTCCTACTTGGAGGTGAGTGGAAATCACTCATCTCATAGTTCTCCTTTAATAATAATATAGATAATAAACATTTACAATATTCTGTTGCTGCACCAGCTAATGCAACAAGTTGTCCTACTTGGAGGTGAGTGGAAATCACTCATCTCATAGTTCTCCTTTAATAATAATATAGATAATAAACATTTACAATATTCTGTTGCTGCACCAGCTAATGCAACAAGTTGTCCTACTTGGAGGTGAGTGGAAATCACTCATCTCATAGTTCTCCTTTAATAATAATATAGATAATAAACATTTACAATATTCTGTTGCTGCACCAGCTAATGCAACAAGTTGTCCTACTTGGAGGTGAGTGGAAATCACTCATCTCATAGTTCTCCTTTAATATACATAAATGTTTATGTTTTTATTTTTTAAAAAGGAAAGAATGTTTACACTTTGGAGATTCTTTTTTCTCCTCTTGGTTTCCATGCACCAATATGGATCACTGATGATTAAAAGCCCCCCGGAGGAGGATGGATTGGCTGAAGGAGGTGGTGTACATTGCCTTTTGGGGAATGTGCTATAAGATTTTTTTTATGATTTAAAAGGTCATTTGTATCTGGTAAGGCTATTCTAACTAAGGGGGCACGGAGGGGTTAAAAAGCACCAAGAGCATCCTGGTGACAGCATAGTTCATATTTTCTGGGGATGATTAGTTTGTTATTGGACACTGCGCTGCCTGGATGGATGGATGGTTTTTACTGGATACAGCACTTACCTGGACTATACTCTTTGTAATAGCAGTTGCTATTGGAATCCACATTTTACATGTGTTTGGATTGCACTTATTGCCCGTTTGTTTATGTACTTTTGCATACATGTGGTTCACATACAGTATGTGTGACACACAATATCTTGAAGGGATTTATAGTCATTGGAGGAACAAGGGTTGAATTTAGAATGACCTATTAAGATCTTTCATTTCTTAGGGTTTTACATATTGATAGGTTTAGTGATGATCATTTTAAATTCAAAGTCTGGGAAAAAATGATCCTTCATCCTTGCAGTGGGACTACCCCCGCACTGCAAGGGTTAAGTGCTCGTTTTTGTCCAAGTTCAAAAATATCAAAAGTTATACTTGCTCTTAGATCGATCTCTTCCACCTCGCTCCCCTGAGCTGCAGTGGTCTGAGAATCCTAGGGTCATCACATTCTATACACGGTGTATTGGATGTGAGGACGCCATGGAACATACCGTCGCTGCAGCAGAGGAGACAGGCAGAAGGGACCAGTTTTAGAGCAAGCCATGTCGGAGGATTAGGCGAGTATAACATTTTTAAGCCTAGATAAAAACGAGCACTTATCTTTTGCAGTGTGGGGGTAGCCCCAATGGAAGGGTGAAGGAGAATTTCCCCCAGAGTTCTGCGTTAATATTTATACTAAAATTCTGACTTTTTATTTTTTTATATTTTTTTTACACAAGCCATCTCAACAGCCAAGCCAGGCCAGCAATCCAACTATAAGACTGTATGCAAGGTCATATAACTCACCATCACTTCCCACCACTTAAGTTACATTATTCCCTGACTAGATTATTGCACTTTGTTGCTTTATTAAGAGCCTATTCACACCAGGCGGTTGCGGATCAGTGTGGCTACCGTGCTTATCTCACAAGGGAGGTTTGGGGAGTTTTTAATTGCGTTTCAGAGCTGAAACGCAATTAAAAACACCCTGATCAGCACGGCAAAAATAGTGCAGGGAACAGTTCGGGCGGGGGGGCGGTTCGGATCGCATGAACAGTCCCCATAGCAATGTATGGGATCGTTCATGTCGGCGGATCCATGCGGCTGAACCGCCCCCGGTGTGAATGGGGCCTAAAGCAGAACTACGGGAGGATGCTAGTTTGTGTCCTCCCGTTACCCTAAGGAGAACTATGGGGAAAAACACTGACCCCATAGTTCTCCTTTAAGTTGAAAACCAGTTGCTAGGAGGAAGAGTTTATGGATAGACTAGACTTGGTATGTCTATTCTGCCATAAAACCATTTTCACTTTTTTTTCTAGCAATTTTCTTAACTCGCACACTAACTACTGCATATTTAGTGTACACCTCCGGCACCTGTAAGGTTTCCTGCCGCTTGGCAGAACAATGGAACCCATTGGCTTAGGAATAAAAAAAAAAACAAGTATGCTTTGTTTGCTTGCACATGACCACAAGTGCTTTCCGACTCCAGCCAAAACCTCTGCACCAGAGTGAGGAAGCGTTAAAAAAACAGCAGTAGGGAGTGTTCCCATCTCTCCATCTGGGTCAAGGTTAGAATCCCAGTCAGTTTTTAATTTGTGTGTGTGCTTTCCTGTCCTGGTTACTTGTTTCTAGTCCTAGTTTCAGGCAGATAAGTAAACTGGACAGCAATAACCTAAAAGAGGTTCTAACATTTTCCACTCTATTAATAATAATAAAAAAAAAATCTGGCTGGAGTTATGCTTTAATATAACCCTTTCTCTGCCAAGCCATCCGGAATGCAGCTTTTAGAGTTTGCAAATACCCCCCAAACAATACATTTCCTGAAAGCACAGGCCTGGTAGAATCAAAAGATGGTGCTACTAATTTTGTAGATCCTGCGATAATTGCGCAAATATTTATCTAAATCAATATTAAACCGCTAAAAATACACAATTAAATGGATAAAAGCACACTGGAATCAGTATCAGTGCTCCAAAAAATACTTTTCTGACTAAATCTAAAACTGTATTGAGTTCATAACAAATATTTGTACATTTTAAAATTGCGCCTTTTTGTGAAACGGTAAAAAATAAAAGTAACCAAAATTGTAAATAAGTGACTTATGTTAAAAATCATTTGTGCGCTGTGTTGGTGTGTGTGTTGTGATAAAATGATACAGGCTTACATTTAATCGCAACACAGCGTATCTTAACGCACAGCAATGCGTCAACGCTTTGCTATGCTCTGCGCAGACACACAGCTAAATTAATGTTATTTAAAAAATAAATAAATCAAGCACTGCGATGCGTTCTAACAATGCACCACAGCGTATGTGCATGGCGTACGCCACAATATGGTGCACATGTATGTTATCTGTGTGTGTGTGTTGTGTTTATTTTTACTTACATTTATTCTTTTATTATTATTATTTAATTTTTTTTAATGTTGGGGTGCTTCAGGGAAATATCAGGGGTCCAAACATTTCCCTTTTGAAATAGAAAAATACATTGAGTCCTCAATCTTTTTTTCTGCTGCCTCTGTTCTAAATGAAGGAAAAGCACTCAGTACAGAGGCTTCCTGTTTATTCGCAAACTGGTGATAGTGAAACATTTCCGATCAACCAGTTATGAATGGCTAGAAGCCTCTGTACTGAGCTGCCTCTGCCCATTCAGAAATTCATGAATGAACAAGAAGTGATTAAAGCACTTCCTGTTCATTCATAACTGGGGACACAGTGCTGGTCCCGCCCCCTCCGGTTGCAGTCCATCGCTCCTCGGATCCCCGCTGCCTCAACCCATAAAGGCGGGGAAGAGCAGCGGGGATCAGAGGAGAAGCATGGAGCGGCTCCAGGCGGGGAGGGGAAGCTGTCAGATGCCGGTGGCAGCAGGGGGGGCGGGGTGTGGAACGTGCACAGAAATTTTTGTTAATAGCTGCAATCAGCAGCTTTTCAGCTGCTGATGACAGCCATTACTTCACAGGGGAACCTTTTTCATATAAGTACATGGTCGCTTTAGCAACCATGAGCTTATAGTAGAAGGGTGAAAGCCACCAACTTATGGCAGAAGTGGCTAGCTCCAAGCGGTTGTGTTCCGTCGAATGCCATACGTCGGTGGCAGTGAAAGGGGTTAAGGGTGCATTAATGCTATATGTTAGGTTTAAAGTGACACTAAACTCAGGAGCTAAATCTTAAAAAATACATTCAAGTACCTTATTAACAAAAATTTAGCTTATTTGTATATCACTTGGCTGTAAATCTTCAAATCATCTCTGAATTCCTGCTGACACTGTCCTTCCTTCTGGGGGATGACTACTTTTGTTCCCCATGGTCCCTGTGTGTGTTGTAAAGTAGTCACCGCTCCAAGCTCACTCCTGTGATGGACTATTTTTCAATACAAGTTAGTAAACTAAACATGAGATTGTAGTCCATCACAGGAGTGAGCTTGGAGCAGTGGCTACTTAGGTAGGACAGTTTCAGCACCAATTCAGAGATGATTTGAGGATCTTCAGCCGAGTGATACACAAATTAGATACATTTTTGTTAATAGTTTGGGTACTTTTGTTAGTTAAGGTCTTAGATTAGTTTATAACTAAATGCATATTAGTAGATTTGGCTGAAAGATATATTTGTTTTTTTTACAGGGCAATAAATAGAGTTTTTAGTAGCTTATAATTTTTTTCAAATTTAATTGGTACATAAAATCCCTGTATCCAAAAGCACCATGCCTATTTAATAAAGCTATAAAACTAACATATGGCAACTTTAGTGCTCAATGGGGTGCCCCCAAGTAAAGCTGATATGTCTATCCATCTGATACCACAAACAGTAAACAATGTATACACTGGCCTACTGGCATTTCCTTTATGGGATCTGTAATCGTTATGTATTCATAGACAAAAATGTATCACCTGTATAACCACAATAGAAACTTACTTGTAGTGGAAAAGGCAGAGTTTTGATCTCCTCCAAACACAGGAACTGAGCCAGTCGCAGGCTTGGTGAGCTCGTTCATCTGAGGAACAATAGACCAAGAATTAAAAAAAAAGTGGTAACTGGAAAAAAGCATTTTTGTACTCATCATAAAATCATTTTCTTGGAGACCATTGAGGGACACAGGAAGTCTTAAAACGTTGTGTTATACTGCCATCTACAGGATGCCACTGTCACAAGGAAGCGAACAAAAGGGAGCTACATCATAATTCTGTATGCAGGTCTTAAATCAAAGAATGAGAAAAAAGGGTCTCTAAAACAAGACAGCAAGAGCAGAGACTTGAATGGTGCGCAGAGGCAAATGCTGGTGTGTGTGTGTCGCCGTGGTTTTCGGGGTCCCCCGCTCCTCTGGGGGACCCGTGACCACAGCATAGGAGCTCACCATAGAGCAGATGAAGAACGTACGTTCTTCACCTGCTCGGTGTGATCACTGAAGGTGGCCATACACTCTACAACCATCGCAAGACTTTAGTCTTGCGATGGTTGTAAAGGGATCTTGGACAGGCAGATCGCACTCTCGATCATCGCAAGCCCGCCCCCCTGAGGGGCGGGCTTCCGATGACCGCAATGCTGAACGGGCAGTGTGCGCGTGTGCACACCGGCCCGTTCAGCATTTATCTTCCGAGCACCGTTCTAACCAGCCGAGAATCGTACGATTCCCGGCTGGTTTTCGAACATGCTGGTTCGACAGAAGACGTGCGACCGTACAGTAGAAGCGGTCGCACGTCTCCGTTCACACTGCTCGATTATCGTACGAAAAACCGATCGCATACGATCATCGTACGATAATCGTGCAGTGTATGGGCACCTTGAGACTGTGGCGCTGTAATCAATCTCCTAAGTAATATAAGTAAAAGATTTTTTTTTTAAAGTACACTAAAAGGACACTAAAACTTTGATGATGGCGCAATGCATTGGAAAGTTATCTGCAAATTAAATAAAGGTTTTTTTTTCGTCAGATGAAACAATGTTACTTTGTATCTCTCTATTTCACCTCTGAACAACATGTCCGGTGGTCAGATTTTGACAGCAGCAGCAATTACAGCTGCAATATATACTTTTACATGTATGTTCCATGGATGGTGCAAAGTGTGCTGTGTAGCAGTAAAACAAATACTACACTTCAGCTCTATAGAAATTCTCCCCCCTCCCCGAGAGTTATAAAAAAAAGACAGATAACAAACGCTGACGTTTGGATGGACATGGCACATAGAGTTTACAACATACTGTCAAGTACTCTTGTAAGAGCAGCTGTGTTTCTGCAGACAGACATCACATGATACCACCTGAATTTAGACTTACCAGGGCAGCTTGAGGTGAAATATTTGTGTTCCTAATCGTATGTATTCTCTGTTTCCACTGGCTGGCCAGTTGCTGTACTGAATTCACCTACCAAAAGAATAACAAATGAGTCATGTGGATACTGGTGTACAATAAAACAGCTACAAGGACACTCATTCAAACACAAATATATAAATAAAATAAGATCTCGGAATGAAATACTGCTCAGTGAGCGAAAAGTAGCTGTACAGATGACAGTTCCCCGAGGAGGAGGAAGGAAGGGAGGGAAAGAGGAAAAGAAAGAAAGAAAGAAAGAAGGAAAGAAGAAAAGAAAGAAAGAAAGAAAGAAAGAAAGAAAGAAGGAAAGAAAGGAAAAACCGAAGCTCAATTCCCCCACCCATGCTAAATATTGTGGATGGGGCAATCTCCCCTGCCAGGCTATTCTATTCCAAAAGCTGTTGCCCACCACTGTCAGATGTATTTATTACAGGTATTTATATAGTGCTATCAATGTGTGTAGCACTTCACATCAGTCCCTGCCCTCAAGGAGCTTACAATCTAAGGTTCTTATCTCACATGCATACAGGGCCAATTTAGACAGGAGCCAATTAACCTAACAGCATGTCTTCGGCGTGTGGGAGGAAACCCACACAAGCACAAGGAGAACATGCAAAGTCCTTGCAGACAGTGTCCCGACGTGGATTGGAACCAGGGACCCCCAGTGGCAGAAGTGACCCACCCTAGAAGAAGTGCTAACCACTACACCACTGTACACAAACAGTGACCGCAGCTGACTGGACGCAGATGCTGTTCAGCCAACAGTTTTCAGCTTAGATCCTTTGACAAAAGTTGATTGAAAGATTGAGTTTTGTCAAACAGAGGGGTGCCGGCAGGGCCACACACTGCTCAAATTTCAGATGAGTCAGCAGGACTGGGACAGAATTCAAGCGGTTATATGGTACAGATACGAGCTAATGTGTGATTTTATCTTGCCTGCCATAGCTGCTATAAAGGCGTCTCTCTGTGGTGTGGTTTATACCCAGGTTGCAGGTCAGGAAAAATGTACAGCAAGACATTAATAGAGAGGAGAACATAATGGAAGAGGTTACAGAAATTCCCAGTGCCCACCCATAACTGAAATCTTTTTGCCTACACTCAACTTGTAAATGACTGCCTTATACTGTTAGATACCTAGATGTCAGTCATAGTTTTCACATTGTGAATCACTGACAGCTTTACTGCATGTTCTGTCAACGTATGTTTGAATTGTTTAAGATTCTTCACATATACAGATCACATTAAGAAGAGATAAAAAAAAAGCTGCCTGTACATAGTCCCCCCAAATCTGACAAAATTAGGACATTTACATAGTTCTGCATATTTCCAGAGTCCCGTGCTGTATAACATTCCAGACGCAATTCTTCTGGAGAAATGTCTGCAAACCCTGCAACATACAGAACAGAAAAAAATATATTAAAAAACACAAAAAAGATGAAAAACAAACAAAAAGATAAAACCTCGCTATACACAACAAGCCATAAAAACAAATGGAAAGCTAGAGCTGCCTTGAAGTTCAACGATCACAATTTTACTTTGTTACTAAGACCCCGTTTACATGTAGCGACATACCTTTGCAGCGGCCGGGATAGCGCGTCTTTCGGGGCGACGTTCCAGCGACGGTAGCGCGACCTTCTCCGTCGGGCTCCATAGAAAAAAAGGGTCCGGTAGAAGCGACTTGCGACCGTGACATGGAGCTAAGACAGCTCCATTGACTATCATAAGCCGGCGACTTCTCGCGATATCACGCGGCAAAAATGCGCGATATCGCGGCGGAAATCGCGCGATAAGTCGCTACATGTGAACGGGGCCTGAGGGCTCAACTTGCCTGACATCTGGACTACTCCGCGCCTGCTTGAGCCAGTAACAGTCCATGTTTGCACTCCTGACCGCTCATCCATTGAATGTAAGGTTGGTGCATCGGTAGTCGAGTAATACAGAAAAATATGGACACCGTCACTCCAAGGATAGAATACGTCTATTTAATGACGTGCATGCAAAATATACTTATTGCGACTTTTTGGGGGTCACGCAGGATCCCCTTCATCAGAAGCAATACTAAGCAACATGACAGTTTGTCAGTTAAGACAGGAGAAAGCTGTTAGAGAAGGGGGGAGGGGGTTAGTGGGGTGTCATAAATGTTAGACCTGGGAGTAAAAAATGCCTCCTGATAATCAAAAGACAGAAAAAATAAACGTAGGATGACAAATAAACCCTAAACAGATCAGAGATATACCACATACATGAATATTGGGATGTTCTGTAGATTCAAAAAAGTTCTGGCAGTGTGTCAGAAAACCAGAATCCACATTAAGTCCCTCCTCCTTTATGGCATTGAAATGTAAAATCATTTTCATCTCAAATGTTTTCCTTTTATGAGAGTTTTTAAAATTCCCTTTTAGTACTTTAATTTTGAGGTTTTGGATGGAGTGATCCTTCTGGGAGAAGTGATGTCCTACTGGAGTGCACTATTCATCCTCTTTGTGGTTCTTGATCGAGCGCCTGTGTAGGTTCATCCTGAGCTGCAGCTTAAGGCCAGTTTCCCCAATGTAACAGCCTTTGTCACATGCTGAACACTGTATCATGTACACCACGTTAGCAGATGTGCATGAGTATGACCCCTTAATGGTGTACGCTTTGTTATTGTGACTCGCTGTATTTCTGTCACATATATGTTGGCAAAGTTTGCAGCGGGGTTTATTGCATTGTACTGTGCCATTCTGTGTAAGCGCCTGTTCTGGGGTCAGCTTACTGCGTACCAATTTTCTTCTCAGGTTCAGTGGTTGCTTGAATGCTAGTATTGGGGGCTGAGGGAATATTTCTTTAAGTATGGGGTCTTCTGAGAGTACTGGCTGTAGATCTTTGATTATTTTGCGTATTACCTCTAGAGTAGGGTTGTAGGTAACTACAAGAGGGGTCCTGGTTTGGTTTTTCTTCTCTTTGTACTGTAGCAGTCTTTCCCGTGGTGTTCTTAGGGCAGATTTAATCTTTTTAGAAATAGTCTTTTCCCTATAGCCCTATGTCCGAAATGCATCAATCAGCCAGTGTGCTCAGGTGTTTGTCTCACACACACACACACACACACACACACACACACACACACACACACACACACACACGTGAGCAAACCAATCCTAGAGTCTGCTGTGTCCCTGTGATGTCACAACGATATCACGTATGTGGGCAATAATGATAATGATTGCACTGTGCGTACCCTTACAGCAACCAGCGGTGTCCTTTACACAGTGCCGGCTCTGACAGGAGTGTCCCACCGCTGCCATTGTAACCAGTGACGTGGCCGGCTCCATGCCCAATTGGGTGTGTGCGGCCAGTCACTGTACGTTTCCCCAGCGGAAAGGTGTGGCTGAGTCCTCGTAACATTGACGTGTGCAGCCTCCCCTATTAGCAGATATAGGTGTGGGCATAACCAGGCAGGCGGCCGGGAGCCTGACAGCGGCAAACCACTGCCAAACGGCACGTCTGGATGGACAGCTGCTGCAGCACAGCCGTTATCACTCGAGCTTTCAGCATCCGATGCTACATTTCATGCTCCTCAGGTACGGGATGATTTTATGTTATAACCATACTACTGTAATTGCACTGTTTGTATGTATCTGCTTCTACATGATTCACTGAATCATGTACTGAATTCTGGCGGGAGAATGACGTCATTGTGACATCACGGGGACACAGCAGACTCTAGCATTGGTTTGCTCACATTTATTGGTGTGTATATAGATCTGTACTTTCCTAATTGCAATTTCACTCATTCTGCCTGATGAAGGGGATCCTACGTGACCCCGAAACGTCGCAATAAGTATGTTTTGCTTGAGCCGGTATCTGCTCACAATACCAATGAATGAAAGAAGCCTTATTGGATACTGAGGGCTTAGCCCCATGTCAAGTCATAGATTCATCATTAGAGGGACCAGTGGAAGAGGCTTTCTTAGTAATGGTGGCAACCTTGGCTTTTATAGATCAGTTTAAGTACAAGTTAGGGATGCACCGATACTAGTATCGGATATCTATCGGTGATAATCCCGAGTACTCGTACTCGCCCAAATGCTCTGATGCCTAGCCCGATACTTCCGGTATCAGGAAGCCGGCCAGCATGTCATCATCACTTGTGACGAGAGAGCATGGAGCCGGCTTCCCCGCCAATCAGGAAGCATTGGCAAGCTTCCGACCAATCAGGAAGCCAGGCGCCATGTAATGACGCAGCACCCGGCTTTCTGATTGGCCAGAAAGCCGGCTCCATGCTTTCTCGTCACCTAGTGACCAGAAGCATGGGGACGGCTTCCCTGCTAATCAGGAAGCCGGGTGGCGAGTCTTTACGCGCTGCCCGGCTAATCAGGAATAGTAGATGGCAGGTCATTACGTGTCGCCTGGCTTCCTGAATGGGACTTCTGGTACACAGTATCGGCGAATACCGGGGAAAAAAATAATAATCGATACCGAAATACCAGTATCGGTGCATCCCTAATACAAGTGAACTATTCTGAAAGGGGATTTATTGGTTAGTGAAGAACTTAGTGGTCCACAAAGGTTCTGTATATGAAAAAGAAAGCGTCTTATGAACTAGGAAAAAAACTGAAGCAATATATAGTAGAATGAATACCTGTTAAATTTCTGAGATCCTTGATGACACAATAGGCAGAGAAAATCCATTGCCCAGAAGATTCCCAGACATCCAAGTCCTGTTTTATATCCTCACTGTATGAAGAATGAAAAATGATGAGAGGTTTATTACTTGACCCTTATTATCCCAACTCTCCCTTGCCCCCTGGCAGTGAATTGATATTAAAGTCAAAATGTTTTCTAGTGCTGATGAAATCACTAACAATGGATGCTGCTGCTTGATGTTCAAGTTTTATTTTCCTGCAAAATCAGTCCGTCCCCTGAAAACCGTCCCTGATATTCTGTTTTAGGGTGGCTCCTTTCCCTTGCAGGGTGCAAAGGAGCCACCCTTGTGTGTGCTAGTAAGCTGTGTTTCCCCACCGACACACAGATACAGCAGGCTAAACCATTCCTCTCCTCCCTGCTCTCCAAGCTAATAGATGGACGGCTGCTGGAGACTTCTCTGTCCCTTGTGATCCTATACTAGACGGAAAGCGTAGATGAGGGAATCCGTTGCACTTTTTCCACCTGACCATAGAAAATCTGCAGATAATCTATAGGTGTATGGCCAGCTTTAGACGTACATTAAAATAACCCAAAAGGAGCAGTAAGGTTAGGACCATTTAAGGCCAAACTCCAGCCAAAACTCTTTTTGTTTCAGCTAAAGCAGGAAACGGTTAAAGAATCTGGCTAGGTTTTGATTGCCATCTGTGTCCCTACTGGGGAGAATTCCCCTCACTTCTTGTCAGGACAGGAGATGATGGGAAATCCAAAGGGGGCACAAACAAAAAACACATTTTTATAAAAGCGGGGGAGGGTTAGAACTACTGGCGATGGTTTTATTGCCATCTCTACCTTTGCGTCACAGGGAAAGGACGAAAGGGAAAATGTACCCAATGTGGTAAGAGGCAAAAAAACAAAACAAACCCCAAACTGACAGAAATGTTTACTCTTCCACATGCCATCTAACGTTCAGGTGGACTTAGGGCTGTCACGTGGACTTAGGGCTGTCACGTGGACTTAGGGCTGTCACGTGGACTTAAATAGCCCTTTCATAAGCTAGTGAAGCATATAGTGAATATGTGGAAAATCCAGTCATCTACAGCAAGCAATCAGTTATTACATACAGGTCAGTAAATGGTGAAATGTTAATGCTGTAGAGCCCATCTGGGTTTAGTCGTACTTGCTCATAGGGATGCACCGATACCACTTTTTTAGGACCAAGTACGAGTACCGATACTTTTGATCAAGTACTCGCAGATACCAAATACCGATACTTTTTCTTAAAAGGGACAGGTCACATTTTTTCTAAAGCAATACAAACTAATGCTTTAAGGTCACTTTCTTAATATTATGATTCATGAGATGACGAGGGAGCATGACGCCGGCTTCCCGGCCAATCAGAATGCCGGGCGCTGCGTCATTACACGGCACCCGGATTCCGGATTTGCTAGCTTCCTGACCAATCGGGAAGCCGGGCAGCGCATCATTGCACGCTACACGGCTTCCTGATTGGCCGGGAAGTCGGCTCCATGCTCTCTCATCACAAGTGACGAGAGAGCATGGAGCAGTTTCCTGGCCAATCAGGAAACCGGGCAACGTGTAATGATGTGCTGCCTGGCTTCCTGATACAGGAAGTACTCGTGCTAGGTATCGGAGCATTTGGGCGAGTACGAGTACTCACCCAAATACTCGGTATTGGCACCGATACCGATACTGGTATCGGTGCATCCCTACTTGCTCATTAATAGTAGAAGCATTACAGTACAGGCCGCTTAGCTGAAGTCATATACAATACACAATATATACAATTTAAACAAAACAAAATGATGTCGCTACTCACAAGAGGTTTCCATCTTTGTCTGATTGTGTCTCTCTGGCATGAGTCTGGGAGGACAGATTTGAAAACCGGTTCTGGGAAGAGAAATTTGATGCAGAGGCCCCCGAATCATATTGTCTGCTTCTGTTATCATAGGAATCAGAATGAGATGGAAATGATGGCTGGCTGTTATCCCTGGACCATGTCATAGACTTGGAAAAACTTGAAGGCTGCACATATCTCTGATTTTGTGATGTCCATTGTCTAGAACCAGCTTTAAAAAAAAAAAAGGGAAAAATATAATGTATGAATCTTATGCTTGTGACCAAAACTAGGATTTGTTTGCAAAGCATGCATAGAGTTCTTCCATGGCCAAACAAGATTACAATGTTGGGAATACAACAGCACATACACTTATGTCTTTTGAGCTGTAGATGGCGCTGTGGTGAAGTGTTGGTCTCTGTATGCATTCTCATCTATGATGCACAGGAAGTTTTCCTATCTATGTTTCCTGTACAATGCTGTATTCTGATGTGATGTTCTTCTAAGCAAGAAAAACGTAATTCAGCATTCCTCAAGATCTCAGTGCTTCATCTAAACCCATACCAACATACAAAACCATATGCAAGCACATCCTTACGCTGTGAATACATCAGTACTGGTAGTTTACAAAGCCCATAAAATGAGAGAGCCTAGACTAAAATAAAACATGGACAACCTAAAAATGAAAATAAAACCTTTCCTCTCTGGTGGGTGGAGAGTTAAATCTTTGTGTTGTTTAAGAGATATTGGGGCTGCTGCTTTCTAATACTTTTTGCTGTATTGGCAACTTTACATTACTAGAGAACACATTAGTAAGGAAGTGGGCATCAGAAGGAATTACAGCCTGTGTCGGGGAAGCACTATCAAACACACCGGGATGTATTAGATAGCAGGGGCGCTGGTATCTCTTAAAGTGTATGTAAACCCTGACAATGGAACTCTCTTATCTGCTACCTCTTGGTCTGCTAAATATACCATTGGCAGTATTGTGTTATCTCTGTGCAATAAGGGCAAAAGAATACCTGTTGATTCTGTGAGCTGATAACTTCCTCATGACCTTATGAATTTGGCATTTAGAAGACACCCTGGAATTTATAAAGAGTGTCAAAGACACTGAAATAAATTGTTAGTGCAGCTGACAGTGTCCTCGCAACCAATGATGCTATGCAGCCAACAGCGTCCTAGCAACCAGGAACAGGTCAAGTTACTGGTTGCTGCTCTTTACTACACTGTGGCCCAACTCTGAGAGCACTATGACCTGTCACCTCCTCCTCTGTAGAGGGAACGCGGCAACCCCCCCTCTCCTCTGTAGAGGGAACGCGGGGACCCCCCTCTCCTCTGTAGAGGGGACCCCCCTCTCCTCTGTAGAGGGGACCCCCCTCTCCTCTGTAGAGGGGACCCCCCTCTCCTCTGTAGAGGGGACCCCCCTCTCCTCTGTAGAGGGGACGCGGGGACCCCCCTCTCCTCTGTAGAGGGAACGCGGAGACCCCCCTCTCCTCTGTAGAGGGAACGCGGAGACCCCCCCCTCTCCTCTGTGGAGAGAACACTTGGACCCCCTCTCCTCCTCTGTGGAGAGAACACTTGGACCCCCCTC